ACTTAGAAACAACCAACTGACTATTACAACCACATGGCATCACCATAGCACAGTAATTAACCACAGACCTCCAAAACCTCTTAAATAAACTAAAAGACCAGTAGCGGCATCCCAAGGAAAAAAAAAACAGGAGTCATTTACAACATAGAGTGTAAGGGCTGCAATAACTATGCAGTTATAACTGCAAAAGATTAGCAGAGCACATCCATAACATGACTAGTATTCAGTGGAGTGGGAGTGGGAGTTCCCCTCGCACATATGTGCTAGTCGTTCCCAACTCTAGTGGACGGTGCACATCTCCTTTTCAAAACCGAAGAGCCAGCACTGTCTGAAGACATCTCCATGGTCATGTGGCCAGCATGACTAAATGCCAAAGACACACAGAACACTGTTACTTTCCCACCAAAGTGGTTCCTATTTTTCTATTTGCATTTTTAATGTGCTTTTGAACTGCTAGGTTGGCAGAAATTGGGACAAGTTAATGGGAGCTCACTCTGTTACGTGGCACTAGGGATTCGAACCGCCGAACTTCCAACCTTTCTGATTAACAAGCTAAGAGTCTTAGCCACTGAGCTACATCCCTACTAGTATTCAGTAGACATGATAAAAACTCCTTAATTTCACAACACATGGGTAGACTCAACCATAGTTTCAACTGGGAAGCTATGAGCAGCCTCACATTTGCTCACACTGATGTTTCCTAGTTGGGTAATGAAATGTCTGCAAGTAAACAGCCAAGCATAGAGAGCTCCAAGGAGTTCAAATGTGAGTTACATATATTCTGTTCTATTGGAAATTATGAAATTTCTTATAGTTTTTTTTTAAAAATGATAAAATTTGGTTTTTCACTTAATCTATAACTTGTTTTTGCTGGAATAAATATTTATTTTGTGGAAAGGAATCTAAAAGTTTATATTCTGAATAACCTAATGTAAGAAAAATCTCAATTTTTATATTATACATTATTGATTTTTTCTTCATTTAAAAGTGTGCAACATTTGTATTATAACTATCAGTTTCTGGAACTTTATTGCAAGGTAATTTTTTTTACTAACATTTAACTAGCAATTACTTAACTAAATTTTGTAGAGTGCATGTGTGTGCATGTGCGCCCTAATTTGATGTCCTCATATACCCATAATGTGTTGAAATCCAACATAACAGGGTAGAAAAAGTTGTTTTACAGAGCTATGGCCAGAATATGTTTGTCTTTTCCCTTTTATCTACATATTTGTTGCTTTTATTGGCAGGAAGACAGTGCTGATTTGAAGTGCCAGCTTCAGTTTGCCAAAGAGGAAGCAGTACTGATGCGTAAGAAGATGGCCAAGCTAAGCAGAGAGAAAGATGAATTGGAACAAGAGCTTCAAAAGTACAAATCCATCTATGGGGATGTGGAAAGTCCTCTCCCCATTGGAGAAGCTGGAGGACCACCGAGCACAAGAGAGGCTGAACTGAAGCTTCGTTTAAAATTAGTGGAAGAAGAAGCTAACATATTGGGCAGAAAGTTAGTAGAACTAGAGGTGGAAAACAGAGGAATTAAGGCTGAGATGGAGGATATGAGATGCCAGTATGAAAGAGTATGTCTTAACCAGGAACGTGTTTCAAGCATTCCTACCTCACCTTATGGTGACCCTGTGGAATCAGCTGCAGAGTTGCGTCATCATTTGCAATTTGTAGAAGAAGAAGCAGAACTTCTTAGGAGATCAATCTCTGAAATTGAAGATCACAATAAGCAGCTAACGAATGAATTAAATAAATTCAAGTTTGACCCTGGACAAGAATCTGGTTGGTTTGATGAAAATGCATCCAAATGCAGTGGATCCTTACAAGAAGAACTGAAGTCAGCCCGGATACAAATCAATGAACTGAGTGGAAAAGTGATGAAACTCCAATATGAAAATCGTGTACTGTTATCTAATGTGCAGCGCTATGATCTTGCCTCTCACCTAGGTTTGCGAACATGCAGCCCCAGGGATAGTGATGCTGAGAGTGAGACAGGAAAGAAAGAGTATGACAGTGAAGAAAGTCATCTACCTCAACCAAGGAGAGAAGGACCTATTGGAGGTGAAAGTGATTCTGAAGATGTATATGAAAAGACATCAGGTTTTGGGAGTGGGAAACACTCAGAAGTTAGTTACTTGTGTTCCATTGATTTATCAAGGGCCAAAGAGAACTCAGAATCACTGATCGGTATCAAATATGAGGCTGAAAGGCTTGAAAGAGCTATGGAACGCCTTGTCATTGATACAGACAATTTAATATATGAAACAAAAGTCCAAATAAATAGCAGTACTTCCTCTCAGCAAATTTTTAAAAAAAGTGAGGGGAAAAAGGGGAACAACAACGAACCAGAACTTTTAAGCACTATTAATTCAAGGATGAAACATTTTCAGAAAGAACTGCAAACCTTCTTGGAGAAGGTTGATAACATTGGGGCTGGCTTCAAAGAACAACTGGAAGATCTTTCCCCTCTTCCACACCTTACAGAGTCCTCTAGTTTCCTTTCCACAATGACATCCATCTCTCGAGATTCACCCATTGGAAATCAAGGAAAGGAATTAGTTATAGATTTCCAGGTAGGTGGATTCCATACTCCTTTTACGTTTTGTTAGTCTTTCTTGCTGCATTCTGGTGCTAATTTTACCATGTTTGTTTGTTATGATTTTGAAATTAATTTGTAAAATATTTGTAAATCCTTTTTTTAACTCTTTGCTATTTTCATACAGAAACTTTTTCCTCATGACAAAAAAGGCTAATAGAAACAGCATCTGATTTTTTTGCTGTTTATTATATTGGATGCTGTATTTTATTAGTTACTGTTAACTAATTTAACAAAACACATAAGCACACACTTTCTCTTACACTGTAAATATGAAATGTATTTCAAAAGGTCTTACCAAAATAAAAATCCAGAATGAAATATACTTTAAAAGCCCGCTTTTAGTTCTTTTACATAAGTAAGGGGCGAATAAAAAGGCCCTGTAGCCAACAAAAGACTGCCTTTCATAATGCATTTCCCCGGATTCATACTCTCACAGCTGCCATACTGAATAGAGATTTTTCTGCACAGCACAGATAAGGTTGGAAGAGCCTTGTATCCCCATATACTCCATAACTTATACGCTTGCTGTTGGTTTGACTCATGCATCCCCATTGCATGCGCCTCATAACCAGTATTTGCATTCTTTCCCCTCTCTCTTTTTTGCTTTTCAGATGTTTCAGCCCATTATTTTGCTCATCCTTATTTTAGTTCTGTTCTCGTCACTTGCTTATGACACTGCATTTAAGTTGATTTTTCTGTTCACGCTTTTTTTTGTCTTGTAGTTTTTTCAATTGCCTACCTTATCCATTTTTGTTTTTTTTTTTTAATCTTCCCTGTCCTGGTTTTTTTTTTATGTTACAATCCCCACCCATGCACCTAACAGTCCAAACAAAAGGATCAGATGGAATGGCAGCGCAGCCCAGACCATGGAGATGAGAAAGAGATTCATCAACAACAAGGCACAACAGAACCACATGGCAGAACTGATGGAGACCTTAAATTCTACAGGCCAGAAAACAAGAATTGTTTCAGTCTAGAGGTTAGCACAGCTGAATAAAAATTCATTGAAAGAGAACAGTAATTGTTTGACTTAGAAGCCCGGGCAAAATAGAGGGAATAATTCCTTTGAGCCCTATAATTTGTATTTAACTCCACCTAATATTTTAATGAAATGGTAATCTGACCATTTTTAGCATTTTTCTCAGGATAGCCAATACAGATAGCCTTCGTTTAGCAACTGATTCATTTAGCAATCATTTGCACTATAATGGTTATGGGAACAAAACTGTGTTCTTGTATTTATGATTTTCTGTGGGCAGGAGGTTCTACAACAAGGGGGCAGCAGCAGAGAAGGTTCTCTTCCTAGACACTGCTAGTTGAAACTTTTGACTGATGGGGTCTGCAGGCTACCTTCCTTGCTTAATTGAGTGAGATGAGATGTGCTGATGAGATGGGGAGAAGCCAATTTCATAGATAACTTGTCCTTAAGCCATGTAGGTGATGACTAACACTTTACATTGAACCTTGAACCTTGAAGCAAACTAGTACCCAGTGCAGTTCGTGGAACAAGGCTGTTATATATGTCCTTCTTCAGGCACCCAGTATGGCTCTTGCAATTGCTCTCTGCACCAGCTAAAGCTTCCAGTTACTTTTCAGGGGTAGGTCCATGTAGATCATGTTGCAGTAGTCCAATCGGAAGATGACCAAGACATAAGTGACCAAGCATAAAGCCTCCCTGCCTAGAAAGGGCATCATTGGGGAAATTCCCTCCTGGCCATGGCTGCCACCTGCTCATTGAGCAGGAGCCATGAGTACAAGAGGACTCCCAAGTTACACACCTGGTCTGTCTGGAATAGTGCAACCGTGTCCAAGACCAAAGATGAAAAACTCCTGGTTACAGAGAAGCTCACCCATAGCCATTCCATCTTACTATGGTTCAGCTGAAATCTGTTGTTCCCCATCCCCACTGTCTCCAAGATGGATGTCCACTGCAACACCCACTTCATCCAGAACCGAGATATACTGTATGGCTGGGCATCATCAATGTATTGGTGATACCTCATCCCATGTACATGGATGAACTCACCCAGCAGTTTCATATAGATGCTATACAAGTGCTATACTGTTTCAGAGTTTAAATAGGCATTAAAGTCTAACCCATCTGAA